GTTAGCTGCAAACGTCTCGTTAAACAGTTCACGCATGTCTGCATGTTTGCTGTGTTTAATCGCTTTGTGCCTCGCATTTCTTTGGATTAGACTCCGCGACGTGATGAATCCGAATATAATCATAGTTAGGAGAATGTAAGTAGCTGAAATTAATATGATATTTGCCTAATTAATTCATTTCCCTACATAGATATAACTTGTTCGAACTGATTCTCCGTTTTATGATTTAGTTGGTTGAAACAAGAACATTTTTTCTTCCATATGTAACTATCTTACTTATTTGCAAAGGTGAACGGTTTGCCAAGTGAGAAGCGACTGCATATCTCCTCGACATATCGAGTGAATAGGAGGGGGCCTAGGACACAACCTTGAACTACACCAGAAGTGACTGGACTAGGTTTAGAGTTTACAGACCCCAGTGTAACTACCTGGGACCTATTGTTAAGGAATGATTCAAACCATCCTAATAATGGGTTACGTATTCCTAAGGAGTTCAGCTTATTTATTAGAAGCAAATGGTCAACGCGGTCGAAGGCTTTGGAGATGTCGAAGTAGATGACTAGTTGTCTGTCTCGGCTACTGGTTATATAGTTAAAGAAGTCAGGGCGACAGACCATTCATGATCTGTATTTTAGGAATCCAGGCTTTTTGGGATGCTGCAGCTAAGCACACGTTTGAGAATATCACATTAAACTATTCTTTCCATAATTCTAGATGCTATGGGTTCAATATTGCGTCGGTGATATAGCGGTTAGGACGCTCGCCGATCATGCACACGGTCCGGGGTTCCATCTCCCCGGGCGGCGGACTCCTTTTTCTCCCTAGGCCTAGAAATGATGGTGGTAACGGGGAAAGGTTGGGCATGAGGCTACCAACCCCATCCTGTAAAATAAACACTGCTACAGAAACTTCAAGCCACTAGCTTGAAGCCCTATGTTCCACTAGGGAACGTAAAGGAATGAAGAATGGGTGTAATATTGATTAGCCTATTGTTGTTGACTTCAGTTTTCGATCCGCATTTGTGTTTGGGTATCATAAATGTGGTTTTCCAATTGTCTGGACGAGTTTGGCTTTCTAAGGACATTGTAAAGATCTTAAGTAATAATAAGGAAATGTCAGAACCACGTGTTTATAAAAATACGATGGTATGTCATCAATACCAGCACTACTAGAGCTTTTACGTTTTAATGGCTTGGTTAATATCAGAATAAGTGGAATGAACTGTACTGATTTGTTTCAGCGCTAAACAAGAAGGGAGATCCATTGTAGATTGTAAACCGGGAAGTGGGCTTATGGGATTGAGGTAGTTAGCTGCAAACGTCTCGTTAAACAGTTGGTGCATGTCTGTTGTATAGTTTACCCTTGTTTATAAGGAGAGAATTTTTATGGCTTCGGAGATTCCTTCATGTTTTTAGGATTTTTGTGGGAGCAGCTACTCTGATGGTGCTGACTAGTGCGATGCATTCCTCATTTCTCATACGTAAGTTATGAGCTTGGGAGATGGAGCTAAGAGTACTAAGTATTGACCCTAGTGTACTAAAGACGTGTTGTCTGAAGTATCTTGTTGACAGTCTCTTTAGTTTTTAGCGGTCTTTTGGTTGAATAAATTGCTTCTAAAATTTTGGGACTTTTATGGTTTGCGATCGGATCACAGCGTCTAAGCATGTGTTTGAGTAATAGTAAAAGATGTCTAGAGCTTCCGAGAGATTATCAGTATAGAAGTACTCTCCCCATTCTGAGGAGCTTAACATTGATTTCACTAAAGTCCAGTCTACCTTACTGTAGTTCCTGTATGTTATTTGTTGTAAAGTGGGGGTAGGGACTGCATTGCTACTTGGTGGAAGTGGCAGTGCACACAGCACTGTTTTGTGGTCGCTCCCTGAAAACTCAGAACCTACTAGGGTTGATAGGGGACTTATATTGTGACAGATTAAGTCTAGTGCGTTATTACCTCTTGTAGGGGTAGCGATATTTTGTTTCCAGTCAAGTGTATCCAGTATACCTGAGAACCTATCAAATTTAGTTGGGTCTGTGGGTGTATAACAGTTGATTTCAGGTAAGTTAAAGTCCCCACATAGGATCTTATGATCGCATTGTAAGGTGGATAATTGCTCCAGAGTATCAATGAGTTGGGTCTCGTAATTACTAAAGATGTCAGATGCTCTGTAGGTGTATCGAATTAATGGTATTGGGTTATTTAAGTGTACGTTAACCCATAGAGTCTCAGGCATGTTAAGTGTACTACTTTCTAGCTGTGATACACTAAGTGCATTCAGAAAGTACATAAGACAACCCCCTCTCTTACCACTTTCACTGTCACACCGAAAGTGCGTGTAGTTATTTATCTAAACTTATCTCTTCATCCAGTATGTTTGAATGACACCAGGATTCAATGATGACAATTATAGGGGGGGGGGTTGTATGTTACAGTGAGTGCTCTGAGCATCGACAGTTTATTTAGAACAGATCTAGCATTTATGAGGATTAGGTAAAGATGAGAGTTGAAATAGCGTTTGAAGTATTTAAGATCGTTAATCAGCCCCGGATATGGTTCAGCACCCAGTAGTTCCGCTTGACATGACGACCCTATATTAAGAGGAGTTTCAACATCATGCTCACCTGTCCATCGAGTTGGTGTGTGCTGTTTTCGGTGAAGAATTAGGAATTGGAGTACTGGATTTGCTTTAGGGTAAGACATTTTTATTTTTAGTTAGGCTAGAAACGTGGGAGTGCTCTTTATTTGACCTATACCTGTGCAAGTATCAAGTGTGCTTAATGGATGCGGGTGCACTAGACTGTTTCTGTTTTCATGCAAAGGGGGTGGGGGCTGCACTAGTGGTTTAGAAGTGTTGACATCCCCACCAGCTGTTTTTTTAACGCTGACAGGGACACAGGGAATAAAAAATGATTGGATCCTTGTGATGACCATGGATTATTATTCCAACTATTGTTCGATACTAGTTGTTAGAGGTGTCAGTTCACAGACCTGCGATCTGATATCGCTGATCCGATCTGATATTTTGGATATCTTGGTTATTGCTTTCAGAATTTCCAGCATTCACTGACTTGTTGTATTTTATTTCCCTTAACTTAGCCCTAAGTTCTCCTATAGACAACTTCAGAAGTTCTATTTCTGAAGATGGTACTGAAACAGAGCTTGGTGCCTGAAGTATTTTGATAAGCACATAAGGGTTCTGTATGAGCAGAGGGTGAAGGGGACTGTCTAGAGAGCTGAATAACGACAAATATGCGAATAAAAATTGAAGTCAATGAGATGATAGTGTGACAGTATACTATCAAAAATGCATAAGTGAATTATATTATTAAAAAAGTTACTTGGATATACTGTTAAAGTCCACTGCTACAAATTATTTATATAATCCTCCACAGAAGCGTTCACTGTTTGAATTGTGTCTACTGGTAGAAGGTGTGTGCCGATTGTAGAGTTGTCTTCGGATAAGGATAGTATGTTCCTGCAATAAATCCAAAGCGTACAACACGGTATGAGTTGAGCCAGTAGACAGTAATGGTCAGTGAGAAGGAGAAGCTACTAACGACAGTGGATAGCAGCACAAATTGCTTACGGAGAGGCTCAAGCACTTGGAGGTCACTTATGTACACTGTGATTGGTAGATTTTCGCTTGCGTGGGCATTTCGGCTAATACGGTTTGTGCGTTTCCGAGGTATACTTTGAAATAGCAATAATATAATGGGATAGAGAAGGCGAACCCACCAACGTTAGAGGGTGACTCTAAAGAATAGCGGCCCAAACCGAAACGACCTTCGAACAAAAAAGTGACTTTGAGCAAGGAATCAGCTGACTGTATCATTTTCGGAAGTAATCATAGATGTTTTCGATTACTGTTTGGATAACGGACTCATAGCTCTGTCCAAAATTCGCCAGTGCGGAGGAGTTATGCATATACAAATATAAGCAGAGGCCATTGATGGCTTTGTATACAGATGTATTAGTGCCGCAGGAGGAAATCGGTTCGAGAAGGTTTGTCGTTGTTTTTTAGTTTGCAGATCCCTTAGGAACTTTTCTCTCAAGGTCTAAACTACCTTTGGCGAAAATTTTAATGATCTGTAATTTCTGGGTCCTGAAAAGAGCAGTCACAGCTACAGCTTATGAAACAGAAAATTCAGGTGTCAGCAGTGCAATGGTACAACTACTGCAGAGATGTTTCCTCCTGGAAAATGAACACCCTGACTCAAGTTCTCGGAGGAGTCGGCAGCACAGTCCATATTGATGAGACTGTACTTATCAAAAGGAAATACAACCGCGGGAGATTACAAGCAAACCAGCAGTGGATACTGCGCACTGAGGTGCTTGGGTCATTAGGCACCTTGAATGAGAATTGGCACATCTGAAACGAATCAACTAAACAAACTTGGATGGAATTTCTTACTATTTCCTCGAAATACTTTCTGTTTTTAAGCTTTCGCTCAAAAACTTCCAGCATAGCAAAGGTTTTCACCGGTAGCCTGACATCGCTGTCGCTATCATCAGCTTTGCAACCACTGAAAGTTGCCAACGCGAAGTCAACACGTTTGATTAATTGAGCCTGGGTTTCACATAGTTTTTGAAGACAAACTGTTAATTAATTACAAGATAAACATAAAACAAGAATGAACCGAACCTGCTACTATATTATCGGAATCCATCCTAGGCCGCTTAACATTACTATCCTTGGGCGACCTGAGAAACAATGTCTTTTAATGTCGACATTACTTACGTAATAGGTGTACTTGTAGCAGCCAACATGTGTGAGGAACTCTTCTGCAGTAATCCGAAACTACTTCATTGTAATGTAAGGTTGAATATCTGTCATACCTTATATTCTTTTTTGAATCACATGCACTGCTATCGAGGTCTGCGTAATCGGGGTCCTCGAAGACTTTGCACTGCTTGTCCATCAGGTCAGATGGGTAGTCGTTGCTTACGAAAACGTCATTTTTCGGCGCTCTATTTATTCAATCAAGTATATAACGATGCTTACGTTTATTTGACGCTTTTGCGTGCAAACTACAGTCGACTTGGAAGACTGACTGCAATTGGCAGTGCTGTATGTTCTTTGAAGAGCCTTGTGCTTGGCGAGCGCCTCTTGCAAGTCATCTGGATAAATAGTTAAGTGTCGATACGACTAACCTGTTTCAAATATCACCTCACAATTCTCTATCTTCCAATCAATCTTGGGATACTCCTCCTCATAGGCATTTTCCCAATTGTCTTGGCTGCATACAACAAGCTTGGGTCCAAAAAACGAAGAGCTTCGGCATATCACTGCCTCATTTTTCCCATCGATCAGTGCAATACGATATTTGCCCATATATTCTGAAAGGAACGGTACATTAGTGAATGAAGAACGAAATACCTTAAAATTATCCTACTGGAATGTATAGGGAGTCTACACTTAAACTGATATGCTAGCAAACCCAAAACACTTTGTCGATCATGTCGGCTATTACCTATGAACCCCATTAACTGCAACTGACGCCAACGGAACACAAATTAACAATGGCAACAGCTTATCTAGCCGATGTGTGAGGCATTGGTATGAAAACGTTGAAGTGATTTGTGGGTATTGCAATGCACTTATATTTAATTGTGTTAATTGCAACCCATTCAGTGTCGCCTGAGAATTGGCCTGATTTGTATATATCAAGCTTCGTTGATTCGAAAGGCTTTTTAAAAAATGGTTGCTTATCCAAACAAGGTGTGAATTTGAATAAATTGCCCTCACCCACACCACAGATAATCCCAGGTACTCCATTCACTACTACGAATCGGTCAGGCGAAACAGTTGAATAGTAAGTCTTGCCAACACAAAATGACTGCTTTGCTAAATAAACTGTAACGCATGGCGGGGTTAGCTCAGCAGGTGACTTACCTGCATTTGTAGAGCTTGCAAACACGCATCTTTCGACTTCTCGAGAGGCTACCTGTTTTGCTACCCTGAAGCCACTCATCACCCTTCCCTTGATTTGGCACAAATGTGACTCATACGGGAAGGCTGAAAAGGTATCGAGACAACCGTGTTCACAGACGTCCCCAGCTAAATGCTGAAGAGCATGCACATTGTAAACCAACTCATCAGGGTAGAGGCTGTCGAAACATAGTACATACTGCTTGAGTTGTTGTTTAACGGAGTCGCACAATTTAAGGTGGTAACGAGGATGACATAAAATGTAGACACTCGTGAACAATCTGAGAAAGTTTGCGTATAGTGGAGAGGGTAATAGGTCATGTAATACAACTGGGCCCAAATACATAAGAAATAGCCGGCATTCAGTGGCCTTCCAAAACTGAAGAAACTCCAAGCTGCGACACTTCCTTTGGAAGTCCTTAGTGATGCAGCTTTCTGCAGCCTGTAGCCTTTCGTTAATACAAGCAATTGTTTCATTGCTTAATCTGAATTGGCGTTGTTTTGCCAAACGCAACCATATACCCAATTGCCGCCTAACAACACCTAAGCAGACTAAATGCATATAATCTAATGGAAAAATCTTAACCATATCAATTGGAAGTCTCTCAAATACTGATGTGCCATGGTGGTAATCGGCACCTTCCTTACTCCTAAAGCTATTATCTGTCCTGCGACAGCTGTTAACATCCTTAAATACCATGCGCCGGTTTACATAGTTGCCAGTAACGCAACATCTGTCACAACCTTTCCTACTGTTGCGACTCGCTGTATAAGTGACGTCAGATCTTGCAGGCTTATCGCAGATAACACTGTTAAGCCGGAAGCCGATATCTGTCTGTCTGTCTGGATTCAACATAGAACTTGGCACCGAAGTGCAGCAGTTCGAGTTGCCACGTTCCAAATAGCACACAGAGGTAGACAAGAAGATGAGTGAAGAGAATTAATAGAGTTTGACAAATATAAGAGTGAAACAGAATGGGTAATGGTAGAAAGGAATATGAAAGATTACAGAGATTGAATACATCTGCGCCATTGACAACGATTTTGAGCCATGTCACCTATTGTCTCCAGCCATTGATTCCTAGAGTCCCGAGGGCCCCAACCCGGGAGTCTGCATCTCCCTACCTGACTCAGTTTAACTGTCAAGGATTTCATGGATTGATGCCATGTTTTTGTTTGGCCACCACTGGCTCTTTTCCAACCTGAACCTATATCAGCTAACAATGCCCGTCGGGGGAGGCGGTGGTTAGGCATGCGCACCACGTGACCTAGCCATCTTAGTCTATGTAACTTTATAACCTCGTCGATTGATTTTCCCTCTTTGCCCAACACTCTACGCCTAACGTCAACATCACTTACCTTATTAAACCACCTAACGTGAGACAGAGATCGCAGACATCTATGATCGAAAGCAGTCAACCTTTTCATGTCTTCAACGCGTATTGGCCATGTTTCAGAGCCATAGAGAAGGACGGAGCGAACTGATGAGCAGTACACACGTCCCTTGGTTGATAACCGGACGTCACGCCTACGCCAGAGATGGTGTAAGTCAGCGAAAGCAGCTCGAGCTTTTCGGATCCGTGCTGAGATTTCATCGCCAATCAGTCCGTTGGTGCTAATACAACTTCCCAAGTAGGTGAAGTGGTCAACATGTTCTATCACTTCACTCCCTATCACTAAGTTAGGGGTTGACGTCGTCCAGTCCTGTAGCAGCATCTTACATTTTGCAGGGGCGAATCGCATGCCAAACATACGAAGATTGCTGCTCAAGGTGTTCAGAAGACTCTGCATTTTGTCAGCATCCTCCCCTAACAGGACTATGTCATCTGCATATTCTAAGTCCATTAGATTATTCCCTGGTAACAAGTCGATTCCTAAGTCATTACGTTCAGTTAAGGATACTTCCATTAGCATATCTATGATGAAGTTAAACAGAAATGGGGAAAGTGGACATCCCTGTCGGACACCACTGGTTGTTACCAATTCAGATGACAATTCCCCATAAGCCCTTACACGACTACGTGAGTTTGAATAGAGTGCCTTAATTAGTGCAATGTACTTTCTTGGCACTCCCTTCACAGTCAGACATTGCCATAGTACTTTTCGGTCCACGGAGTCGAAGGCCGCCTTCAAGTCAAGAAATATGACAATTGTTGGACGCCGAAAAGTGTGTCTATGTTCTAGAATCTGTCGAAGAGTGAAGATATGATCTATGCACCCTCTACCTGGTCTAAAGCCTGCTTGATTTTCCCTTGTCTGTTCCTCCCGAGTTCTGCTTAGTCTAGTTCACGCATGTCTGCATGTTTGCTGTGTTTAATCGCTTTGTGCCTCGCATTTCTTTGGATTAGACTCCGCGACGTGACGAATCCGAATATAATCATAGTTAGGAGAATGTAAGTAGCTGAAATTAATATGATATTTGCCTAATTAATTCATTTCCCTACATAGATATAACTTGTTCGAACTGATTCTCCGTTTTATGATTTAGTTGGTTGAAACAAGAACATTATTTCTTCCATATGTAACTATCTTACTTATTTGCAAAGGTGAACGGTTTGCCAAGTGAGAAGCGACTGCATATCTCCTCGACATATCGAGTGAATAGGAGACGTGTTGTCTGAAGTATCTTGTTGACAGTCTCTTTAGTTTTTAGCGGTCTTTTGGTTGAATAAATTGCTTCTAAAATTTTGGGACTTTTATGGTTTGCGATCGGATCACAGCGTCTAAGCATGTGTTTGAGTAATAGTAAAAGATGTCTAGAGCTTCCGAGAGATTATCAGTATAGAAGTACTCTCCCCATTCTGAGGAGCTTAACATTGATTTCACTAAAGTCCAGTCTACCTTACTGTAGTTCCTGTATGTTATTTGTTGTAAAGTGGGGGTAGGGACTGCATTGCTACTTGGTGGAAGTGGCAGTGCACACAGCACTGTTTTGTGGTCGCTCCCTGAAAACTCAGAACCTACTAGGGTTGATAGGGGACTTATATTGTGACAGATTAAGTCTAGTGCGTTATTACCTCTTGTAGGGGTAGCGATATTTTGTTTCCAGTCAAGTGTATCCAGTATACCTGAGAACCTATCAAATTTAGTTGGGTCTGTGGGTGTATAACAGTTGATTTCAGGTAAGTTAAAGTCCCCACATAGGATCTTATGATCGCATTGTAAGGTGGATAATTGCTCCAGAGTATCAATGAGTTGGGTCTCGTAATTACTAAAGATGTCAGATGCTCTGTAGGTGTATCGAATTAATGGTATTGGGTTATTTAAGTGTACGTTAACCCATAGAGTCTCAGGCATGTTAAGTGTACTACTTTCTAGCTGTGATACACTAAGTGCATTCAGAAAGTACATAAGACAACCCCCTCTCTTACCACTTTCACTGTCACACCGAAAGTGCGTGTAGTTATTTATCTAAACTTATCTCTTCATCCAGTATGTTTGAATGACACCAGGATTCAATGATGACAATTATAGGGGGGGGGGTTGTATGTTACAGTGAGTGCTCTGAGCATCGACAGTTTATTTAGAACAGATCTAGCATTTATGAGGATTAGGTAAAGATGAGAGTTGAAATAGCGTTTGAAGTATTTAAGATCGTTAATCAGCCCCGGATATGGTTCAGCACCCAGTAGTTCCGCTTGACATGACGACCCTATATTAAGAGGAGTTTCAACATCATGCTCACCTGTCCATCGAGTTGGTGTGTGCTGTTTTCGGTGAAGAATTAGGAATTGGAGTACTGGATTTGCTTTAGGGTAAGACATTTTTATTTTTAGTTAGGCTAGAAACGTGGGAGTGCTCTTTATTTGACCTATACCTGTGCAAGTATCAAGTGTGCTTAATGGATGCGGGTGCACTAGACTGTTTCTGTTTTCATGCAAAGGGGGTGGGGGCTGCACTAGTGGTTTAGAAGTGTTGACATCCCCACCAGCTGTTTTTTTAACGCTGACAGGGACACAGGGAATAAAAAATGATTGGATCCTTGTGATGACCATGGATTATTATTCCAACTATTGTTCGATACTAGTTGTTAGAGGTGTCAGTTCACAGACCTGCGATCTGATATCGCTGATCCGATCTGATATTTTGGATATCTTGGTTATTGCTTTCAGAATTTCCAGCATTCACTGACTTGTTGTATTTTATTTCCCTTAACTTAGCCCTAAGTTCTCCTATAGACAACTTCAGAAGTTCTATTTCTGAAGATGGTACTGAAACAGAGCTTGGTGCCTGAAGTATTTTGATAAGCACATAAGGGTTCTGTATGAGCAGAGGGTGAAGGGGACTGTCTAGAGAGCTGAATAACGACAAATATGCGAATAAAAATTGAAGTCAATGAGATGATAGTGTGACAGTATACTATCAAAAATGCATAAGTGAATTATATTATTAAAAAAGTTACTTGGATATACTGTTAAAGTCCACTGCTACAAATTATTTATATAATCCTCCACAGAAGCGTTCACTGTTTGAATTGTGTCTACTGGTAGAAGGTGTGTGCCGATTGTAGAGTTGTCTTCGGATAAGGATAGTATGTTCCTGCAATAAATCCAAAGCGTACAACACGGTATGAGTTGAGCCAGTAGACAGTAATGGTCAGTGAGAAGGAGAAGCTACTAACGACAGTGGATAGCAGCACAAATTGCTTACGGAGAGGCTCAAGCACTTGGAGGTCACTTATGTACACTGTGATTGGTAGATTTTCGCTTGCGTGGGCATTTCGGCTAATACGGTTTGTGCGTTTCCGAGGTATACTTTGAAATAGCAATAATATAATGGGATAGAGAAGGCGAACCCACCAACGTTAGAGGGTGACTCTAAAGAATAGCGGCCCAAACCGAAACGACCTTCGAACAAAAAAGTGACTTTGAGCAAGGAATCAGCTGACTGTATCATTTTCGGAAGTAATCATAGATGTTTTCGATTACTGTTTGGATAACGGACTCATAGCTCTGTCCAAAATTCGCCAGTGCGGAGGAGTTATGCATATACAAATATAAGCAGAGGCCATTGATGGCTTTGTATACAGATGTATTAGTGCCGCAGGAGGAAATCGGTTCGAGAAGGTTTGTCGTTGTTTTTTAGTTTGCAGATCCCTTAGGAACTTTTCTCTCAAGGTCTAAACTACCTTTGGCGAAAATTTTAATGATCTGTAATTTCTGGGTCCTGAAAAGAGCAGTCACAGCTACAGCTTATGAAACAGAAAATTCAGGTGTCAGCAGTGCAATGGTACAACTACTGCAGAGATGTTTCCTCCTGGAAAATGAACACCCTGACTCAAGTTCTCGGAGGAGTCGGCAGCACAGTCCATATTGATGAGACTGTACTTATCAAAAGGAAATACAACCGCGGGAGATTACAAGCAAACCAGCAGTGGATACTGCGCACTGAGGTGCTTGGGTCATTAGGCACCTTGAATGAGAATTGGCACATCTGAAACGAATCAACTAAACAAACTTGGATGGAATTTCTTACTATTTCCTCGAAATACTTTCTGTTTTTAAGCTTTCGCTCAAAAACTTCCAGCATAGCAAAGGTTTTCACCGGTAGCCTGACATCGCTGTCGCTATCATCAGCTTTGCAACCACTGAAAGTTGCCAACGCGAAGTCAACACGTTTGATTAATTGAGCCTGGGTTTCACATAGTTTTTGAAGACAAACTGTTAATTAATTACAAGATAAACATAAAACAAGAATGAACCGAACCTGCTACTATATTATCGGAATCCATCCTAGGCCGCTTAACATTACTATCCTTGGGCGACCTGAGAAACAATGTCTTTTAATGTCGACATTACTTACGTAATAGGTGTACTTGTAGCAGCCAACATGTGTGAGGAACTCTTCTGCAGTAATCCGAAACTACTTCATTGTAATGTAAGGTTGAATATCTGTCATACCTTATATTCTTTTTTGAATCACATGCACTGCTATCGAGGTCTGCGTAATCGGGGTCCTCGAAGACTTTGCACTGCTTGTCCATCAGGTCAGATGGGTAGTCGTTGCTTACGAAAACGTCATTTTTCGGCGCTCTATTTATTCAATCAAGTATATAACGATGCTTACGTTTATTTGACGCTTTTGCGTGCAAACTACAGTCGACTTGGAAGACTGACTGCAATTGGCAGTGCTGTATGTTCTTTGAAGAGCCTTGTGCTTGGCGAGCGCCTCTTGCAAGTCATCTGGATAAATAGTTAAGTGTCGATACGACTAACCTGTTTCAAATATCACCTCACAATTCTCTATCTTCCAATCAATCTTGGGATACTCCTCCTCATAGGCATTTTCCCAATTGTCTTGGCTGCATACAACAAGCTTGGGTCCAAAAAACGAAGAGCTTCGGCATATCACTGCCTCATTTTTCCCATCGATCAGTGCAATACGATATTTGCCCATATATTCTGAAAGGAACGGTACATTAGTGAATGAAGAACGAAATACCTTAAAATTATCCTACTGGAATGTATAGGGAGTCTACACTTAAACTGATATGCTAGCAAACCCAAAACACTTTGTCGATCATGTCGGCTATTACCTATGAACCCCATTAACTGCAACTGACGCCAACGGAACACAAATTAACAATGGCAACAGCTTATCTAGCCGATGTGTGAGGCATTGGTATGAAAACGTTGAAGTGATTTGTGGGTATTGCAATGCACTTATATTTAATTGTGTTAATTGCAACCCATTCAGTGTCGCCTGAGAATTGGCCTGATTTGTATATATCAAGCTTCGTTGATTCGAAAGGCTTTTTAAAAAATGGTTGCTTATCCAAACAAGGTGTGAATTTGAATAAATTGCCCTCACCCACACCACAGATAATCCCAGGTACTCCATTCACTACTACGAATCGGTCAGGCGAAACAGTTGAATAGTAAGTCTTGCCAACACAAAATGACTGCTTTGCTAAATAAACTGTAACGCATGGCGGGGTTAGCTCAGCAGGTGACTTACCTGCATTTGTAGAGCTTGCAAACACGCATCTTTCGACTTCTCGAGAGGCTACCTGTTTTGCTACCCTGAAGCCACTCATCACCCTTCCCTTGATTTGGCACAAATGTGACTCATACGGGAAGGCTGAAAAGGTATCGAGACAACCGTGTTCACAGACGTCCCCAGCTAAATGCTGAAGAGCATGCACATTGTAAACCAACTCATCAGGGTAGAGGCTGTCGAAACATAGTACATACTGCTTGAGTTGTTGTTTAACGGAGTCGCACAATTTAAGGTGGTAACGAGGATGACATAAAATGTAGACACTCGTGAACAATCTGAGAAAGTTTGCGTATAGTGGAGAGGGTAATAGGTCATGTAATACAACTGGGCCCAAATACATAAGAAATAGCCGGCATTCAGTGGCCTTCCAAAACTGAAGAAACTCCAAGCTGCGACACTTCCTTTGGAAGTCCTTAGTGATGCAGCTTTCTGCAGCCTGTAGCCTTTCGTTAATACAAGCAATTGTTTCATTGCTTAATCTGAATTGGCGTTGTTTTGCCAAACGCAACCATATACCCAATTGCCGCCTAACAACACCTAAGCAGACTAAATGCATATAATCTAATGGAAAAATCTTAACCATATCAATTGGAAGTCTCTCAAATACTGATGTGCCATGGTGGTAATCGGCACCTTCCTTACTCCTAAAGCTATTATCTGTCCTGCGACAGCTGTTAACATCCTTAAATACCATGCGCCGGTTTACATAGTTGCCAGTAACGCAACATCTGTCACAACCTTTCCTACTGTTGCGACTCGCTGTATAAGTGACGTCAGATCTTGCAGGCTTATCGCAGATAACACTGTTAAGCCGGAAGCCGATATCTGTCTGTCTGTCTGGATTCAACATAGAACTTGGCACCGAAGTGCAGCAGTTCGAGTTGCCACGTTCCAAATAGCACACAGAGGTAGACAAGAAGATGAGTGAAGAGAATTAATAGAGTTTGACAAATATAAGAGTGAAACAGAATGGGTAATGGTAGAAAGGAATATGAAAGATTACAGAGATTGAATACATCTGCGCCATTGACAACGATTTTGAGCCATGTCACCTATTGTCTCCAGCCATTGATTCCTAGAGTCCCGAGGGCCCCAACCCGGGAGTCTGCATCTCCCTACCTGACTCAGTTTAACTGTCAAGGATTTCATGGATTGATGCCATGTTTTTGTTTGGCCACCACTGGCTCTTTTCCAACCTGAACCTATATCAGCTAACAATGCCCGTCGGGGGAGGCGGTGGTTAGGCATGCGCACCACGTGACCTAGCCATCTTAGTCTATGTAACTTTATAACCTCGTCGATTGATTTTCCCTCTTTGCCCAACACTCTACGCCTAACGTCAACATCACTTACCTTATTAAACCACCTAACGTGAGACAGAGATCGCAGACATCTATGATCGAAAGCAGTCAACCTTTTCATGTCTTCAACGCGTATTGGCCATGTTTCAGAGCCATAGAGAAGGACGGAGCGAACTGATGAGCAGTACACACGTCCCTTGGTTGATAACCGGACGTCACGCCTACGCCAGAGATGGTGTAAGTCAGCGAAAGCAGCTCGAGCTTTTCGGATCCGTGCTGAGATTTCATCGCCAATCAGTCCGTTGGTGCTAATACAACTTCCCAAGTAGGTGAAGTGGTCAACATGTTCTATCACTTCACTCCCTATCACTAAGTTAGGGGTTGACGTCGTCCAGTCCTGTAGCAGCATCTTACATTTTGCAGGGGCGAATCGCATGCCAAACATACGAAGATTGCTGCTCAAGGTGTTCAGAAGACTCTGCATTTTGTCAGCATCCTCCCCTAACAGGACTATGTCATCTGCATATTCTAAGTCCATTAGATTATTCCCTGGTAACAAGTCGATTCCTAAGTCATTACGTTCAGTTAAGGATACTTCCATTAGCATATCTATGATGAAGTTAAACAGAAATGGGGAAAGTGGACATCCCTGTCGGACACCACTGGTTGTTACCAATTCAGATGACAATTCCCCATAAGCCCTTACACGACTACGTGAGTTTGAATAGAGTGCCTTAATTAGTGCAATGTACTTTCTTGGCACTCCCTTCACAGTCAGACATTGCCATAGTACTTTTCGGTCCACGGAGTCGAAGGCCGCCTTCAAGTCAAGAAATATGACAATTGTTGGACGCCGAAAAGTGTGTCTATGTTCTAGAATCTGTCGAAGAGTGAAGATATGATCTATGCACCCTCTACCTGGTCTAAAGCCTGCTTGATTTTCCCTTGTCTGTTCCTCCCGAGTTCTGCTTAGTCTAGTTCACGCATGTCTGCATGTTTGCTGTGTTTAATCGCTTTGTGCCTCGCATTTCTTTGGATTAGACTCCGCGACGTGACGAATCCGAATATAATCATAGTTAGGAGAATGTAAGTAGCTGAAATTAATATGATATTTGCCTAATTAATTCATTTCCCTACATAGATATAACTTGTTCGAACTGATTCTCCGTTTTATGATTTAGTTGGTTGAAACAAGAACATTATTTCTTCCATATGTAACTATCTTACTTATTTGCAAAGGTGAACGGTTTGCCAAGTGAGAAGCGACTGCATATCTCCTCGACATATCGAGTGAATAGGAGACGTGTTGTCTGAAGTATCTTGTTGACAGTCTCTTTAGTTTTTAGCGGTCTTTTGGTTGAATAAATTGCTTCTAAAATTTTGGGACTTTTATGGTTTGCGATCGGATCACAGCGTCTAAGCATGTGTTTGAGTAATAGTAAAAGATGTCTAGAGCTTCCGAGAGATTATCAGTATAGAAGTACTCTCCCCATTCTGAGGAGCTTAACATTGATTTCACTAAAGTCCAGTCTACCTTACTGTAGTTCCTGTATGTTATTTGTTGTAAAGTGGGGGTAGGGACTGCATTGCTACTTGGTGGAAGTGGCAGTGCACACAGCACTGTTTTGTGGTCGCTCCCTGAAAACTCAGAACCTACTAGGGTTGATAGGGGACTTATATTGTGACAGATTAAGTCTAGTGCGTTATTACCTCTTGTAGGGGTAGCGATATTTTGTTTCCAGTCAAGTGTATCCAGTATACCTGAGAACCTATCAAATTTAGTTGGGTCTGTGGGTGTATAACAGTTGATTTCAGGTAAGTTAAAGTCCCCACATAGGATCTTATGATCGCATTGTAAGGTGGATAATTGCTCCAGAGTATCAATGAGTTGGGTCTCGTAATTACTAAAGATGTCAGATGCTCTGTAGGTGTATCGAATTAATGGTATTGGGTTATTTAAGTGTACGTTAACCCATAGAGTCTCAGGCATGTTAAGTGTACTACTTTCTAGCTGTGATACACTAAGTGCATTCAGAAAGTACATAAGACAACCCCCTCTCTTACCACTTTCACTGTCACACCGAAAGTGCGTGTAGTTATTTATCTAAACTTATCTCTTCATCCAGTATGTTTGAATGACACCAGGATTCAATGATGACAATTATAGGGGGGGGGGTTGTATGTTACAGTGAGTGCTCTGAGCATCGACAGTTTATTTAGAACAGATCTAGCATTTATGAGGATTAGGTAAAGATGAGAGTTGAAATAGCGTTTGAAGTATTTAAGATCGTTAATCAGCCCCGGATATGGTTCAGCACCCAGTAGTTCCGCTTGACATGACGACCCTATATTAAGAGGAGTTTCAACATCATGCTCACCTGTCCATCGAGTTGGTGTGTGCTGTTTTCGGTGAAGAATTAGGAATTGGAGTACTGGATTTGCTTTAGGGTAAGACATTTTTATTTTTAGTTAGGCTAGAAACGTGGGAGTGCTCTTTATTTGACCTATACCTGTGCAAGTATCAAGTGTGCTTAATGGATGCGGGTGCACTAGACTGTTTCTGTTTTCATGCAAAGGGGGTGGGGGCTGCACTAGTGGTTTAGAAGTGTTGACATCCCCACCAGCTGTTTTTTTAACGCTGACAGGGACACAGGGAATAAAAAATGATTGGATCCTTGTGATGACCATGGATTATTATTCCAACTATTGTTCGATACTAGTTGTTAGAGGTGTCAGTTCACAGACCTGCGATCTGATATCGCTGATCCGATCTGATATTTTGGATATCTTGGTTATTGCTTTCAGAATTTCCAGCATTCACTGACTTGTTGTATTTTATTTCCCTTAACTTAGCCCTAAGTTCTCCTATAGACAACTTCAGAAGTTCTATTTCTGAAGATGGTACTGAAACAGAGCTTGGTGCCTGAAGTATTTTGATAAGCACATAAGGGTTCTGTATGAGCAGAGGGTGAAGGGGACTGTCTAGAGAGCTGAATAACGACAAATATGCGAATAAAAATTGAAGTCAATGAGATGATAGTGTGACAGTATACTATCAAAAATGCATAAGTGAATTATATTATTAAAAAAGTTACTTGGATATACTGTTAAAGTCCACTGCTACAAATTATTTATATAATCCTCCACAGAAGCGTTCACTGTTTGAATTGTGTCTACTGGTAGAAGGTGTGTGCCGATTGTAGAGTTGTCTTCGGATAAGGATAGTATGTTCCTGCAATAAATCCAAAGCGTACAACACGGTATGAGTTGAGCCAGTAGACAGTAATGGTCAGTGAGAAGGAGAAGCTACTAACGACAGTGGATAGCAGCACAAATTGCTTACGGAGAGGCTCAAGCACTTGGAGGTCACTTATGTACACTGTGATTGGTAGATTTTCGCTTGCGTGGGCATTTCGGCTAATACGGTTTGTGCGTTTCCGAGGTATACTTTGAAATAGCAATAATATAATGGGATAGAGAAGGCGAACCCACCAACGTTAGAGGGTGACTCTAAAGAATAGCGGCCCAAACCGAAACGACCTTCGAACAAAAAAGTGACTTTGAGCAAGGAATCAGCTGACTGTATCATTTTCGGAAGTAATCATAGATGTTTTCGATTACTGTTTGGATAACGGACTCATAGCTCTGTCCAAAATTCGCCAGTGCGGAGGAGTTATGCATATACAAATATAAGCAGAGGCCATTGATGGCTTTGTATACAGATGTATTAGTGCCGCAGGAGGAAATCGGTTCGAGAAGGTTTGTCGTTGTTTTTTAGTTTGCAGATCCCTTAGGAACTTTTCTCTCAAGGTCTAAACTACCTTTGGCGAAAATTTTAATGATCTGTAATTTCTGGGTCCTGAAAAGAGCAGTCACAGCTACAGCTTATGAAACAGAAAATTCAGGTGTCAGCAGTGCAATGGTACAACTACTGCAGAGATGTTTCCTCCTGGAAAATGAACACCCTGACTCAAGTTCTCGGAGGAGTCGGCAGCACAGTCCATATTGATGAGACTGTACTTATCAAAAGGAAATACAACCGCGGGAGATTACAAGCAAACCAGCAGTGGATACTGCGCACTGAGGTGCTTGGGTCATTAGGCACCTTGAATGAGAATTGGCACATCTGAAACGAATCAACTAAACAAACTTGGATGGAATTTCTTACTATTTCCTCGAAATACTTTCTGTTTTTAAGCTTTCGCTCAAAAACTTCCAGCATAGCAAAGGTTTTCACCGGTAGCCTGACATCGCTGTCGCTATCATCAGCTTTGCAACCACTGAAAGTTGCCAACGCGAAGTCAACACGTTTGATTAATTGAGCCTGGGTTTCACATAGTTTTTGAAGACAAACTGTTAATTAATTACAAGATAAACATAAAACAAGAATGAACCGAACCTGCTACTATATTATCGGAATCCATCCTAGGCCGCTTAACATTACTATCCTTGGGCGACCTGAGAAACAATGTCTTTTAATGTCGACATTACTTACGTAATAGGTGTACTTGTAGCAGCCAACATGTGTGAGGAACTCTTCTGCAGTAATCCGAAACTACTTCATTGTAATGTAAGGTTGAATATCTGTCATACCTTATATTCTTTTTTGAATCACATGCACTGCTATCGAGGTCTGCGTAATCGGGGTCCTCGAAGACTTTGCACTGCTTGTCCATCAGGTCAGATGGGTAGTCGTTGCTTACGAAAACGTCATTTTTCGGCGCTCTATTTATTCAATCAAGTATATAACGATGCTTACGTTTATTTGACGCTTTTGCGTGCAAACTACAGTCGACTTGGAAGACTGACTGCAATTGGCAGTGCTGTATGTTCTTTGAAGAGCCTTGTGCTTGGCGAGCGCCTCTTGCAAGTCATCTGGATAAATAGTTAAGTGTCGATACGACTAACCTGTTTCAAATATCACCTCACAATTCTCTATCTTCCAATCAATCTTGGGATACTCCTCCTCATAGGCATTTTCCCAATTGTCTTGGCTGCATACAACAAGCTTGGGTCCAAAAAACGAAGAGCTTCGGCATATCACTGCCTCATTTTTCCCATCGATCAGTGCAATACGATATTTGCCCATATATTCTGAAAGGAACGGTACATTAGTGAATGAAGAACGAAATACCTTAAAATTATCCTACTGGAATGTATAGGGAGTCTACACTTAAACTGATATGCTAGCAAACCCAAAACACTTTGTCGATCATGTCGGCTATTACCTATGAACCCCATTAACTGCAACTGACGCCAACGGAACACAAATTAACAATGGCAACAGCTTATCTAGCCGATGTGTGAGGCATTGGTATGAAAACGTTGAAGTGATTTGTGGGTATTGCAATGCACTTATATTTAATTGTGTTAATTGCAACCCATTCAGTGTCGCCTGAGAATTGGCCTGATTTGTATATATCAAGCTTCGTTGATTCGAAAGGCTTTTTAAAAAATGGTTGCTTATCCAAACAAGGTGTGAATTTGAATAAATTGCCCTCACCCACACCACAGATAATCCCAGGTACTCCATTCACTACTACGAATCGGTCAGGCGAAACAGTTGAATAGTAAGTCTTGCCAACACAAAATGACTGCTTTGCTAAATAAACTGTAACGCATGGCGGGGTTAGCTCAGCAGGTGACTTACCTGCATTTGTAGAGCTTGCAAACACGCATCTTTCGACTTCTCGAGAGGCTACCTGTTTTGCTACCCTGAAGCCACTCATCACCCTTCCCTTGATTTGGCACAAATGTGACTCATACGGGAAGGCTGAAAAGGTATCGAGACAACCGTGTTCACAGACGTCCCCAGCTAAATGCTGAAGAGCATGCACATTGTAAACCAACTCATCAGGGTAGAGGCTGTCGAAACATAGTACATACTGCTTGAGTTGTTGTTTAACGGAGTCGCACAATTTAAGGTGGTAACGAGGATGACATAAAATGTAGACACTCGTGAACAATCTGAGAAAGTTTGCGTATAGTGGAGAGGGTAATAGGTCATGTAATACAACTGGGCCCAAATACATAAGAAATAGCCGGCATTCAGTGGCCTTCCAAAACTGAAGAAACTCCAAGCTGCGACACTTCCTTTGGAAGTCCTTAGTGATGCAGCTTTCTGCAGCCTGTAGCCTTTCGTTAATACAAGCAATTGTTTCATTGCTTAATCTGAATTGGCGTTGTTTTGCCAAACGCAACCATATACCCAATTGCCGCCTAACAACACCTAAGCAGACTAAATGCATATAATCTAATGGAAAAATCTTAACCATATCAATTGGAAGTCTCTCAAATACTGATGTGCCATGGTGGTAATCGGCACCTTCCTTACTCCTAAAGCTATTATCTGTCCTGCGACAGCTGTTAACATCCTTAAATACCATGCGCCGGTTTACATAGTTGCCAGTAACGCAACATCTGTCACAACCTTTCCTACTGTTGCGACTCGCTGTATAAGTGACGTCAGATCTTGCAGGCTTATCGCAGATAACACTGTTAAGCCGGAAGCCGATATCTGTCTGTCTGTCTGGATTCAACATAGAACTTGGCACCGAAGTGCAGCAGTTCGAGTTGCCACGTTCCAAATAGCACACAGAGGTAGACAAGAAGATGAGTGAAGAGAATTAATAGAGTTTGACAAATATAAGAGTGAAACAGAATGGGTAATGGTAGAAAGGAATATGAAAGATTACAGAGATTGAATACATCTGCGCCATTGACAACGATTTTGAGCCATGTCACCTATTGTCTCCAGCCATTGATTCCTAGAGTCCCGAGGGCCCCAACCCGGGAGTCTGCATCTCCCTACCTGACTCAGTTTAACTGTCAAGGATTTCATGGATTGATGCCATGTTTTTGTTTGGCCACCACTGGCTCTTTTCCAACCTGAACCTATATCAGCTAACAATGCCCGTCGGGGGAGGCGGTGGTTAGGCATGCGCACCACGTGACCTAGCCATCTTAGTCTATGTAACTTTATAACCTCGTCGATTGATTTTCCCTCTTTGCCCAACACTCTACGCCTAACGTCAACATCACTTACCTTATTAAACCACCTAACGTGAGACAGAGATCGCAGACATCTATGATCGAAAGCAGTCAACCTTTTCATGTCTTCAACGCGTATTGGCCATGTTTCAGAGCCATAGAGAAGGACGGAGCGAACTGATGAGCAGTGCACACGTCCCTTGGTTGATAACCGGACGTCACGCCTACGCCAGAGATGGTGTAAGTCAGCGAAAGCAGCTCGAGCTTTTCGGATCCGTGCTGAGATTTCATCGCCAATCAGTCCGTTGGTGCTAATACAACTTCCCAAGTAGGTGAAGTGGTCAACATGTTCTATCACTTCACTCCCTATCACTAAGTTAGGGGTTGACGTCGTCCAGTCCTGTAGCAGCATCTTACATTTTGCAGGGGCGAATCGCATGCCAAACATACGAAGATTGCTGCTCAAGGTGTTCAGAAGACTCTGCATTTTGTCAGCATCCTCCCCTAACAGGACTATGTCATCTGCATATTCTAAGTCCATTAGATTATTCCCTGGTAACAAGTCGATTCCTAAGTCATTACGTTCAGTTAAGGATACTTCCATTAGCATATCTATGATGAAGTTAAACAGAAATGGGGAAAGTGGACATCCCTGTCGGACACCACTGGTTGTTACCAATTCAGATGACAATTCCCCATAAGCCCTTACACGACTACGTGAGTTTGAATAGAGTGCCTTAATTAGTGCAATGTACTTTCTTGGCACTCCCTTCACAGTCAGACATTGCCATAGTACTTTTCGGTCCACGGAGTCGAAGGCCGCCTTCAAGTCAAGAAATATGACAATTGTTGGACGCCGAAAAGTGTGTCTATGTTCTAGAATCTGTCGAAGAGTGAAGATATGATCTATGCACCCTCTACCTGGTCTAAAGCCTGCTTGATTTTCCCTTGTCTGTTCCTCCCGAGTTCTGCTTAGTCTATGCATGATTACTGAGCCTAGGATTTTAGAGACTATGTTCGTTAGGCTGATCCCCCTATGATTATCACACGAGGACTTGTTTCCCTTCAAGAAGGGAAACAAGTCCTCGTGTGATAATCATATGCCTCTCATTGATTTGTAAACCATATGCATATAAGTGCTCCATGTCAGTTACAACTGGCAATAAAAAACTATTGAAGTCAGGCGGTTTATGAAAACCACCATAAACTTCAATAAGAAATATATCACTGAGAAACGGTTTCACCAGTCGACCCAATATCGGCCAAACTTGCTGTGTACCATTGTTAAACAGTGACAATCCATCAGCATTCAGTTGCAGATTAACGCAATCAAAAGATGCAAACTGACACCAACAAGTCAGTATAGGCGTAAGTATACTTCGCAAACCAATATGATAGTAAACTCCACTACCAATAACAGTTGAGGGGCATGACTGGCTAGTTTTGAGAATGTGTCTTATATTTGTTGGTTATCTTGGAATATGCCGCTTGAACAATCGCATAATCTTTCCACCATCAACAATGGATGTTTTAGCGCACTTTGAAAAAGGAGAGTGGCATTTTTTACGTTGTGAAGTAAATTCTGCTTTTGTTGTTTAAACCACATCAGAAGTTTTTAGTTCACTTTAACTGATTTATTTAGTTCAAGTGTTGTCTGTTTTATTCACATTTTGTGTTTTGGTTGGTATTTACCTAGCTGTCACACGTATATATAAGTGTGTATTTGTTTGGCATTAACCTCACTGTTTTCACGTATATATAACTGTATAGTTGTAACAAATTAAAATTATGGCCCCAACTAACAATTGTGGTCGACCGGACTGCCACTTTCCGGTGGATGATGGGATGCAGTGTGACAACTGCAGCCTTTGGTTACACAAAGTTTGCACTGGTTTAACACCAGTAGCCTATAAGAGATGTTGCAAGCCATCATCTCCATGGCTGTACAAATTTTGCAGCAACCTGTTAGATGTGTTCATCCAAGAGGCAGTAGGACTCTTGATGTCCAAGAAATTGTCGAAAGACATAGTTGAAAAGCCTGTACCAGAAACCTTCGCCAAGGATGGCGGTTCAGGACATAGTTGTAAGATTCAGGGTGCATCACCTCCTGAAGTCTCCGAAGCGAAAGAAGCACAAAATGCCATTGCTTTTACGTTTAGGATTCATTCTCTCATGCACAGGCCAAAATCTGCTCGTCCAAACATTTGGAAAGCGGATATACAAGGAATCTGGAACGCAGCAACTGTGGTTGACTGGTCAGTTGATACAAGTCAGACTGTCGAGGAAGCTTGGGTAGGATTTAGGAATACACTAGATCGTGTCACTTCACCTTTTATACCTTGGTACACTCCTCGAAAGCCGTCGCATGAACCTCCTTGGATCACTAGTGAAATAAATAGGTTATTAAGACGGCGAAAGAACTTATGGGACCAATTTGTTATGACAGGAAGGGAAAACTTCCAGAAAGACTACCGCAAAACTCGAAACCTCTGTAAGTATGCGATTAACAAGAGTCGTGTAGAGTACGAGAGACGATTAGTACTAGATTGCGTTCATTACCCAAAAAGGTTTTACTCGTATATTAAACGTAGGACTAAAACTAGCAGTGGTATACCGTCACTCATAACCATTAGTGGAGAAGCGGCTGAGTCAGACGAAGGAAAGGTTGAAAACCTCTCTGAATACTTCTGTGACGTCTTCTCGTCTGATAGTACCACCCAGGGATATGGCGAGGTCACTGCCATCGCCACTCAAATGCCCTCAATTGTGGTAGAGCACACAAAGGTTCTCAAACTACTGTCTAAACTGAAGCCAGGTAATTCACCTGGGCCGGATGGACTTCACCCTAAGCTGTTACTTTCCTTGGCGGATATAATATATATTCCGCTTACGGAGATTTTCCAAATGTCTCTGACGCAGGCTAAGCTACCCAGGGACTGGAAGGATGCCATTATAAGCCCTATCTTCAAGGACGGGGATAGGCAATTGGTATCTAACTACAGGCCGGTAAGTCTGACATGCATTATTGCAAAGGTACTGGAAACTATTATAAGGGATCAACTATTAGCTTATGTTGAAACACATGGCTTGTTGGCTGTGGAACAGCATGGATTCCGACCAGGACGATCCTGCTTGACAAACCTACTATTGGCTAGGGAAGACTGGGTTGAGGCCAGAGATAGGGACCATCTGTTGGACGTGGTTTTTATTGATCTTAGCAAGGCGTTCGACAAAGTATCCCACTTAGGTCTCCTTAGTAAACTGAAAGGTTTCGGACTAGACCAATGCCTATGTGAGTGGTTTAGAGATTACTTAATGGATAGAAGGCAGAAGGTTAGAGTTAATGGTGTACTATCAGGATGGAAAGCAGTATCCAGTGGAGTGCCCCAGGGAACTGTATTAGGTCCATTGCTATTCCTATTATACGTTAACGAATTACCAGGGATTCTTTCTTCATCTTCATTATTATTTGCAGATGACATTAAGGTATGGAAAACTGTAAACAATAACGAGGATAGGTCGGCCCTACAAAATGACTTAGATAAATTAGCTGAGTGGTCAAGCCTATGGAGTTTGGAAATGAATGCTAGGAAAAGCGCGGTAATGCACTTAGGTCAGAAGTCTTATACGTCGTACTCCCTGGGGGATGCAGAACTACCTGATGTTACCGAACAGAAGGACCTAGGAATCATTGTCAGCAACGATTTGAAAACAACTGCAAATTGCAATGCAGCCGCAGCTAAAGCTTTTCGAATGCTATGGGCAATTCGAAGGGCTTTCAAACGATTAGACGAGGGCATGTTCCAAATACTCTACGCAACATATGTCAGGCCTCATCTAAAATACTGCATACAAGCGACGAGTCCATGCTTCAAAAAGAAGGCACATATTCTGGAAAGAGTACAGAGAGTAGTTAATGGTATCTCACACCTTCCTTATGATAAGAGGATGGAGCATTTAAATCTCTTCCCGTTATCATACCGAAGGAAGAGAGGCGACTTAATTTTAGCATACCGTATACTTAAGGGTGATTTAGGAACTGACCTTTCTAACCTTTTCTCCCCTTCTAGGATACATTTACGGGGTCACCGCAAAAAGGTGCTCAAACCAAGGACGATTAAAATACGTGCAGAATTTAGATTCTCTCACAGAGTGGTCAACGATTGGAACTCCTTACCTGATTCAGTAGTATCAGCTCCATCGGTGAACGCTTTCAAAGAGAAGTTAGATCTCTGCAGAGATATACTTTGCAAGGATTAACACAGGCCACAAGAGCCTTCTATTCTTATCATCTGAATCTGAATCATAAGCTTTAAGGCAGTCTTCCTAAGCTCTGCCTTTGAATTGCGTTCTTTCGCCTTATCGGAACGTATCTCATGGGACAAAAGAGCGCCCGCAGCATTACCTGATAAAATAGTCATCACACGAAATACTAAGAAACCAACTTGGTAAAGTGGTTTGCGTGTCACTTTGCACGTTAACGACGCTACAAGAAGTTTCATCAACTAGACATTCACCAGCCTCGACTCTGAAATCGGGAAGTATCATCATGGCTACGTCACCGAGCAACTCCGATTTCAATCTCTTAGTTCTTCTATACAATGTGGATCGGTGGCCTGTCTCTTTTTCAAACAAACCTAAAGCACAAGGCTATATTAAAGAGAATAAAGTACTTCTAAGACGTCCAGGGGTATTCACATTACTACCACTTGGTACTACTTCACTTTCAGTATCCATTTTATTACCTTAAAAAAGACATTACTGTACATACTTAACTCACCTAGTCAGGTGCACGACGAAGAATTTGAAATCGCGGCTTCGGAAGTCAAACTTCAGTTTGAATTCACATAAACAAACATGTCAAAATAATGGAAATGAAATCGTCACCATTTGTCTTCATGCCAATTCACAGTTATTACAGACGCATTGTATAATATTCAAGCTGAAATGTTCCTCACCTCATGCATTCCCCATCTTAGTATGACTGCGCTACAAAAACAATTCACCCCATTCTTCCCATGTTTCCCCTGTTTCTCATATTTTCCCACATTTCCCACGTCTCCAGAAAATAGTTGCCCACGTTTGCCCACTTTTCCCATGTCACTTGAATAACTAGCCCACTTCTTCCCACTTTACCCGTGTTACAAACGAAAACAGCCCACTTTATCCCACTTTGCCCACATTTGAACGGAAAACTGCCCACGTTTTTACCCACATATCCCAGGTCCAAAAAAAGTAACCGACTGGGTGGGTATCTACGACACGACACCGCGCAAAGGGTATATGGAAGCGATTCCCAATCGCAGTGCAGCAGTATTAGTGCCTATTAATAAGCGTTTGGTGTTGCCGGGGACGACCATTCATACGGATGAATGGAGCGGATACCGTCAATTATCGAATCATGGGTACATTTATCATGTTGTTAATCATACGGACGGTTTCTGGAATCCTTTGGATGGAACCCACACCAGTTCCAGTGAAAGATTTTGGAGTCGTATAGAAAGACGTATAAGAGCGGTTAATGGATCGAGAAATCCCATGATTCACAGTCACCTGGATGAATTTATGTACCGAAACTGGTTTCATATGACTATGAAGACTCGCATGAGAAACTTGGAGGTTTTCTTGCAACATATACGCGAACGCCATTCTTTGTAACTGTTTATTATGATTGCATTACTTCTATATAAACCGTTTTTTACAATTATGCGCCTTTCTTTTTGAGCCTTCTCATTGGCCGAAGTTGTCCCTGTCAAGGTCATTTTTGCGTTAAAATGTAGTTTCGGTTTGGGCCGCTATTCTTTAGAGTCACCCGTTAGAGTATATTGCAAATTGAACTCGGAAGTTATATGTATTTAGACATGAATCGCTTAAAACAAATGTCATGTACAATGTTTATAATCTCAACATCCGACTAAAATTATAACATCATATTGTTACGTACTTCACAAGGTTACTGAATTTTTTAGGAGTAGTGCTAATACTAGTTGTTATTAAGGTTTTATTCTCAATTCCAGCGCGACGCTCACGGCATACAAGTGAGTTTTTTGGCTAACTATAACCATTTGTAGGGAGCGTGTGGCTTGATGGAGCAATTAAAGACGTAAAATTAGTTACCAAATTTACACGGGATTGAGTTCGTTGCTTTTTACTTTGAGTGACCATAACTATTTAATATGAAAGTTAATGGTTACAAGTTTGAAAGTAGTTTAGTACTTGTGCAAGGATTACAAGAAGATAAATTTTATGTAACGAATCACGCAGAAGTGCAACGCGAACGTTGACCGTACTACACCATTAATGTGCTCCACTTTTCAAAATAAGTGTAAACTAGGATGGCTGAATTGATTGAATGCGTAAGTGTAATTGTGTTCGAACACTATCGATGGATATAAGAGGCGAATTATAAGTACTTCAGTCAAGCCTTATTTATTTAGTGTTCCCTTGAAGTCCTAGTGGAGCGTAGGGCTTCAACTGCACGTCTCCAGTGCTTCTGTCTTCTGCTGTACTTTCCACCTGCATCCATGTTAGTCCATACTGTTTCAACTCCTCTTCACACGATATCCTCCATGTCACCCTTGCACTGACGTCTCACCCTCCTCTTTTCTTTCATGTTCCACTCGAGGAATGGCCTGAAGAGTGATTTCACCAACCGGCCTCCTCAACGAGTGTCCAATCCATCTCCACCTTCTCCTGCATATTTGCTGGGAGATTGGTTCTTGTTTTGTTTGTTCCCATAGTTTCTTGTTGGTGATTCTGTCCGGCCCAGCCGTCTTTTCTTCAAAATGGAACCAGGGAAGACAAGGTCTGCAACAGGCTGTTGGAAATATTCTTTGTGACCCACCCGCCAAGTTTCTGATCCGTACAGAAGAACTGACTGACTTGATGTTTGTATTTAAAATCCGACTGAATTTTGTTGGTGATGCTGAGTGACGAAGATTTCCAGATTGGTTTCAGGTTGATGAATGTGTTTCTCGCCTTCCCGATCCTCGCTCGATTTGACATCCTCATCCGTTCCTCCTGTAGTTGAAACAATGCCCCCTAGATAAGTAAATGAAGTAACCTCTTTCAAATCCCTCCCGTTGATGGTGATTGACGCTGGATGGTGCTGCTGTTGTTGTTGTTGTTGTTGGTTGGTTATTTTCATAACCTCCGTCTTGTCTATGTTCACTTGGAGTCCTGTCTTTGCTGCTTCTTCGACCAGTTTGTCGGTTTTCGCTTGTAAGTCTTCGATTTTATGTGACATCAAGCATAAATCATCCACACGCGAAATCCAGGTCTTCTAGGTTCTTCACTTCGGTCCAGGATATTCCCGTCTTCTCGTTTCCCACTGCCTGACGCATAATCTGGTCCACCACAATTAGGAATATCATTCGTGATAATAAGAACCCTTGTCTGACTCCCGTGTTTACTCCAAACGCCTCGCTGAGTTTTCCATTGTGGATCACTTGACATGTGCCGTTGTTGTACAGCTGTTGAATAAGGTTGATGAATATTTGGGGTACGCCGTAGTACTCGAGTAGTTTCCAAATTACTTCACGATCAACGCTGTCGAAGGCCTTCTCGAAGTCTATAAAGTTGAGGTAGAGGTTTGATTGCAATTCCACCCTTTGTTCGATGATGATGATGCGTAGAGTTGCAATTTGGTCGATCGTCGATAAAGCATATCCCCTATTTGAAGTGGCGCCTCTGGCTTAACCTTGACGGAATTTGCGAGATTAAACACAGCAATCGCTTTGTGCCTCGCATTTCTTTGGATTAGACTCCGCGACGTGATGAATCCGAATATAATCATAGTTAGGAGAATGTAAGTAGCTGAAATTAATATGATATTTGCCTAATTAATTCATTTCCCTACATAGATATAACTTGTTCGAACTGATTCTCCGTTTTATGATTTAGTTGGTTGAAACAAGAACATTTTTTCTTCCATATGTAACTATCTTACTTATTTGCAAAGGTGAACGGTTTGCCAAGTGAGAAGCGACTGCATATCTCCTCGACATATCGAGTGAATAGGAGGGGGCCTAGGACGCAACCTTGAACTACACCAGAAGTGACTGGACTAGGTTTAGAGTTTACAGACCCCAGTGTAACTACCTGGGACCTATTGTTAAGGAATGATTCAAACCATCCTAATAATGGGTTACGTATTCCTAAGGAGTTCAGCTTATTTATTAGAAGCAAATGGTCAACGCGGTCGAAGGCTTTGGAGATGTCGAAGTAGATGACTAGTTGTCTGTCTCGGCTACTGGTTATATAGTTAGAGAAGTCAGGGCGACAGACCATTCATGATCTGGATTTTAGGAATCCATGTTGGTTGGGATTTACAATACTGTAGCCGAGAATACGTTTGAGAATATCACATTTAACTATTCTTTCCATAATTCTAGATGCTATGGGTTCAATATTGCGTCGGTGATATAGCGGTTAGGACGCTCGCCGATCATGCACACGGTCCGGGGTTCCATCTCCCCGGGCGGCGGACTCCTTTTTCTCCCTAGGCCTAGAAATGATGGTGGTAACGGGGAAAGGTTGGGCATGAGGCTACCAACCCCATCCTGTAAAATAAACACTGCTACAGAAACTTCAAGCCACTAGCTTGAAGCCCTATGTTCCACTAGGGAACGTAAAGGAATGAAGAATGGGTGTAATATTGATTAGCCTATTGTTGTTGACTTCAGTTTTCGATCCGCATTTGTGTTTGGGTATCATAAATGTGGTTTTCCAATTGTCTGGACGAGTTTGGCTTTCTAAGGACATTGTAAAGATCTTAAGTAATAATAAGGAAATGTCAGAACCACGTGTTTATAAAAATACGATGGTATGTCATCAATACCAGCACTACTAGAGCTTTTACGTTTTAATGGCTTGGTTAATATCAGAATAAGTGGAATGAACTGTACTGATTTGTTTCAGCGCTAAACAAGAAGGGAGATCCATTGTAGATTGTAAACCGGGAAGTGGGCTTATGGGATTGAGGTAGTTAGCTGCAAACGTCTCGTTAAACAGTTCACGCATGTCTGCATGTTTGCTGTGTTTAATCGCTTTGTGCCTCGCATTTCTTTGGATTAGACTCCGCGACGTGATGAATCCGAATATAATCATAGTTAGGAGAATGTAAGTAGCTGAAATTAATATGATATTTGCCTAATTAATTCATTTCCCTACATAGATATAACTTGTTCGAACTGATTCTCCGTTTTATGATTTAGTTGGTTGAAACAAGAACATTTTTTCTTCCATATGTAACTATCTTACTTATTTGCAAAGGTGAACGGTTTGCCAAGTGAGAAGCGACTGCATATCTCCTCGACATATCGAGTGAATAGGAGGGGGCCTAGGACGCAACCTTGAACTACACCAGAAGTGACTGGACTAGGTTTAGAGTTTACAGACCCCAGTGTAACTACCTGGGACCTATTGTTAAGGAATGATTCAAACCATCCTAATAATGGGTTACGTATTCCTAAGGAGTTCAGCTTATTTATTAGAAGCAAATGGTCAACGCGGTCGAAGGCTTTGGAGATGTCGAAGTAGATGACTAGTTGTCTGTCTCGGCTACTGGTTATATAGTTAAAGAAGTCAGGGCGACAGACCATTCATGATCTGTATTTTAGGAATCCATGTTTTTTGGGATTTACAATACTGTAGCCAAGAATACGTTTGAGAATATCACATTAAACTATTCTTTCCATAATTCTAGATGCTATGGGTTCAATATTGCGTCGGTGATA